TGAAATCAGCTCTTCATTTCACAGCATCAACCATCAACCATCAACCAGCTTGCAATGAGTTTCATCTTATGGGGTCTGGGGAATACATGCAAATAAAAATGGATAAGGAGCAGCTGATAGCTCGTCAGGGGGACACTTTGTTCAAAATATGTGTCTTGCAGCCCGGTTCTCTCCTTAGTTAGAGTACCTTGATGCATGTATGGGTTCACTGAGGAAGCTAGACCTAGGGGTTGTAGTACTGAACACTACTAAATAGGGGAGAAAGCTTTGTGAAGGAGGGCTTGAGGTTGTGTTATTTTCAGAGCATTTAACATTTAGAGTGTGTGAATTATGTTGGAGCTTGGGCTACTGGTAGGATTTTGTAGAATCATAGAATGGTTTGGGTTGGAAGGGACCTTAAAGATCATCTCGTTCCAACCCCCCTGCCATGGGCAGGGACACCTTCCACCAGACCAGGTTGCTCAAAGCCCCATCCAACCTGGCCTTGAACACTGCCAGGGATGGGGCAGCCACAGCTTCTCTGGGCAACCTGTGCCAGCGCCTCACCACCCTCACTGTGAAGAACTTCTTCTTTATGTCCAATCTAAACCTGCCCTCTTTCAGTTTAAAACCATTGCCCCTTGTCCTGTCACTACAGGTCCTGGTAAGAAGTCTTTCTCTATCTTTCTTATAAGCTCCCTTTAGGTACTGGGGGGCTGCTATAAGATCTCCCTGGAGCCTTCTCTTCTCCAGGCTGAACAAACCCAACTCTCTCAGCCTTTCTCCACAGCAGAGGTGCTCCACCCCTCTGATCGTTCTTGTGTCCCTCCTCCAGACCCGCTCCAACAGGTCCACGTCTGTCCCGTGCTGAGGACCCCAGAGCTGGACACAGGACCGCAGGTGGGCTCTCACTCGATGGGAGCAGAGGGGCAGAATCTCCTCCCTCGACCTGCTGCCCACGCTGCTTGGGATGCAGCCCAGGACACGGTCGGCTCGTGCCCGGTTTTTCATCCCCCAGTACCCCCAAGTCCTTCTCGGCAGGGCTGCTCTCCATCCCTTCATCCCCAGCCTGGATTTGTGATACCAGGGGTTGCCCCGACCCAGGCGCAGGACCCTGCACGTGGCCTTGATGAACCTCATGAGGTTCACATGGGCCCACTCCTTGCCCCCGACCTTTGTCTTCCATCCAGTTTAGTGAAGTTTTCACATAATTCTTAAAAATCAGGTCATAATGAAGGTAAATTACTGCACTAGATAAGTGAATCTCTTTACTGGGGAGGAAGGGAGGGGACACCACCTCTCTATGCAGGGTGTGGTTATATTTGAAACTTAACAGTGTATTCTCTAAAATGAGCTGTTAGCTCCTAAGAAGCTCCAGATTTTGGAAGAGGCGAGGTCGAAGGGAAGGGCAAGTTTCCTGGACCATTAGGACAACCAGCATCAGCCGGAGAGAAAACAGGCAACCTTTTGCATTTGCAGCCTTTTATCAGTTCTTAGAAATACACTGCAACACCACAAGTGGTTTTGTGTCAATAACTGAAACCTTTGAATCTACCAATTCACTGCTAATTGACACCTGGGTGGGACTATTTGAAAATGTCCTGTTTTCATTTGGCTGCCCATCTGAACAGCTGAAAAAACAAGAGCAACAGTCATGCCTTATTTTTTTTTTGGTCAAAATCGTAAAGGTTAATAATTCAGTTTCACTTTGCTTTTTTTTGCCCCGTTGGAATTGGAGAAAATGCTCCCTTTCAGTTGCAGGGAAGCAAAGAGCTAGGCTTTCTGAAAGAGGCCGTGTTCTCTGGTATGGTTCTTGCTGAGAAGGCTGCAGGTTTGGTGGGTGCAGTCCCTTCCTCCTTGTGAGAGGTCTTGCACACCATGCTTAGCTTTGAGCGGAGGATCTCTGGCATCAGGTTCTGCTCTGACCTCCGTGTGCTCGGCCTCCTTCCAGATGAAGATGTAACGTGAAACAAATATTTGTTGAAAATCCCAAAACAGAACAAGCTGAGTCTGCAGCTTAGCTGGGGGGGCATTCACACAAGGGAGGGGGTACTGGGAGTCAGCCCTCTCTGTCTCATTTCAGTTTTGTTTTCTGTTTTGTTTTGTTTTGTTTTTCTTCCTGATTCTGTCTGCAGTGCTTTTGAACTGTTCTGATGTGCAGGCATCCTACATGTTTTTCAAAGGCGGAGTAAATTTATGTGATGGATGGAAGCCTGCTGTCCATACCCTTGCTTTTCTTAGTTACCTTTCAAGACTAAAATAGCCCACAGACCCCTCAAAGAAAACTAGTGATCTAATTTGAACGCTAAGATCTTGATAATCATGAATGAGCCTTGACTTAGCTGTGAAGAGAGAAGCTACCGGGTTTTGTTATGACTTCAGTGACCACTGAAGTCCTTGAAGCTGGATGACTTCCTGGCAGATGGCTGTGTTGCTTGAGGAGACAGGCATCGTGGTGGTGTCAGAAACATGGGAGGACTGCATCGGTCACCAAACATACCTGGAGTACAATTCAGAAACCACAGACCTGCTGTGCGATAGAGAAATTGTTGACAGGCAGGAGCTACGAAAATGAGAAGTACTGAATTTTCAGCATGCAGGGGTTATTCCAGGCGGAAAACATAGATATCCTTTCTTGCAATCTCACAGGCATCAAGCCAAGGTATGATTCTACTCTGAATGAAATCAGTGGAATTTTTTTTTCTCTATTTGAATACCACAAGTAAATGCGGGGTTTGTTCTTTTGCTTCAGGCTTACAGTGTTTTTTACCTCCTCTTTTGCCTGTTTTTTTCTATTCACTTTCTAGTCTCTATTTAAATGATTTATATTTGTTTGCTTTCTTCCCTTTGCTCGACATTTTGATTCCTTTTTATAAAAGCTGATGACATATGGGAGCATAGAAAAGAATCGCTCTGGCTTCATGGGATCTGAGCCTTGGGTTACGAATCTTGGCATGCTGAATGAAATGACTATTCTGCCGAGCTCTGCCAAGGCCGGCCGTACATCGAGATAAAAGAGACCAAACTTGTGGCTGCCCTGCCTGTGCAGATGTCACCCCTTGCTCCTACCTCATACCCTGTGGAAAAAAAACCCCACACTTGTGGCTCCGTGACGGCTACCTTGGGCTACCTCGAGACCTGCTGGTTTCTCTGATCCCCTCTGCACCCCATCAGTTGTCACTGATGGCCAAAGACAGAAAGGCTCATAGGCTCCATGGGAACAAAAGCCAACGTGCAATATTGAAGGGTTCGCATTATCCGCTGAGACCCTGAATGAAGCAAATCACTGGGAATAATTAGTAACAGAGGCACTGGCAGCAATGTGGGCTGCTTCTTGTTGTGGAGGTAAATGAGTGCAGGCTCCCCCCATCAATTCTCAAAATTGCTTAGCAGCAGTGAGATATGTGTTAATAGCTGAGAAAGAATGTGCTAGATTTAAGGAGTTGATAATTATGGTGTTTTAGGCACTTATAGCAGTGAAAGGAGGAATTAATCTCTGAATATTAAAATGAACTAGATATAGCTATTTAAAGTAGGATTTCCAATTACTGCTTTCCCAGAAAAAGGGTAATGAGTTCTCCAAAAGGCTTTCTGTTCTATTTTTGACAAGACCCACTTTGTACAGGTCAATTGACTCAGGTGATCTATCAATCTGTGCAGTAAAATGCACTGGGATCCTGCGAATAGAAAGTATGCCAGTGTTTCTGATTTTATTTAGGAAAAGTACTAACTTAATCAGAAAGCACATAAAGGGAGCGTTGTGCAATGCTTTACCCATAGCTGCAGATGAGTTGGTTGTAGCTGCAGCTGATGTCCATGGAATTAGTGTGAGATCATTAGACTAGCCATGTAAAAAAGCATAAAAACAAATTGTACAAAAGCACTGTCAAAACATCACAGAGATTTTCCTTAGGGTTTTTGTGTGGTCTTGAGGAGAGGATGGTGTTTGTTTTTGTAGAGCTAGTGGGTAGCTCCTAGTGCAATCTAATTTCTTTCAGTGTTAGCAAGAAAAACAGTTTCTAGCTCCTGAAAAAAACAGGTAATTAATGCTAAAAGTCCAATTGCTGTATGTCATAGAATGCCTCTGCTTTTGCTACAGTCCCTCAATTTAATAGGCTAGCTGAAATAATTTCAGTCTGTTGTTGGAAGGTGGGGGACATGGTAGTAGTGTAATATTCAGTATGCCCAAAAGTGTTCCAAGGCCATCTCTAAACTAAATAGGTATCCTCCTCATCCTCTGCCGGGGAACGGATGTCAGCTTCTGAGAAGGGAGGGAAGGAAAAGAGGAAGATGACCACGGTAGCCTCAGATGAGACAGATTTAAGCCATCACAGAACGGTTGCTTTTTATTTCACGCTGTGTCTGGTTGCCTTGGTGGGTGCGTGGCTGGGAGTGCATAGCTGTGGGATCTGGCCCCATGTCATGTCTGTGCACAGACTTCCCAAAACTGGAGTTTCGAGGTTGAGAAAGGGGAAACATCTATGGAGGAATCCTCACACAGACATCCTTGTTTATAGGTCATTAAATAACGGCAAATGCTTTCAATTCTAGCAGCACACGCAGAGTCTGCAAATAGTGCTCTCCGGTACTTCACAGCATTTTATTTGTTGTACTACATTTCATACCTTACATCTTAGGAAGACAACTTTTGTTTTGATCAAGAATAGCTGTCTCTGCTTTTTCAAAAATGGACATTGGATATTCATTTGCCCTGGAGCAGCTACTGGAATTAAAATCCTGATGGTACTTGTGTTGGTATTACATAGCCACCTGCGTCTGGTGAGCACACAGATGAACCAGGGATGTACGCAGGGATGCTGGAGACTGTACACAGGGATGCTGTACGCAGATGTGCACAGGGATGCTGGAGACTATACACAGGGATGCTGGAGACTGCGCACAGGGATGCTGGAGACTGCACACAGGGATGCTGTCCCCAGATGTGCACAGGGATGCTGTCGGCTGCACACAGGGATGCTGGAGACTGCACACAGGGATGCTGTATGCAGATGTGCACAGGGATGCTGTATGCAGATGTGCACAGGGATGCAGTACACGTACGCGGGGATGCTGTACACAGGGATGCTGGAGGCTGCAGTTCTGCGTCAGGTTCACGCCACAGTCGCAGAAGAATGAGAGGCAGCGCAGCGCCCTGTGCCATTGAAGAAAACCAGCTCGGATGGCTCTCGGGTGCTTACGGCATCCCCGCAGGCGTCAGAAACGAGCCCGTTGGCATCGGGTTTTCCTTATATCCTGCTAAACCCCCCCGAAACGGGCGCGACCACCCCCTTCCCCACACTGGAGGAGGAAACCGAAAAGCTTCAGCCGACACCCGTGGCCGGTGGCTCCTCGCCCTCCACACCGTGACGCAGCTATTGCGTCAGAAAACAACAAGCAGGGCGAGCGTCCGGCAGAGGGAAGCAGAGCCCGCCCGGCCCGGCTCCCTCGGCTTCGGGGTTTTGCGGCGGGGAGAGCTCACCCACGGCTGTCCCTGGGGGCTTCTCCTCCTCACCCACGGGGGACCGGGTCCGTCGGCTCCGGCGCTCCGAGGTACCGGCCGTCCCGCTCCAGCCCGGCGGAGGGAGGTGTGCGGGAAGCGGCGGGCTGGGGGGGGCTGATCCTGGTGGATCCTGGGCGCTGGTGACCCCCAAAGCTGCTCTGTCCCGGCCCTCCTCGGCTGGGCAGGGGAGGGAAAGCGGATCGGAACTCTCGTGGGTCGAGATAAGGACAGGGAGAGATCACTCGGCAATTACCGTCATGGGCAAAACAGACTCGGCTTGGGGAAAATTAACTTAAGTTATTGCCAATCAAGCAGAGTCGAGTAAGGAGAAATAAAACCAAATCTTAAAAACACCTTCCTCCCACCCCTCCCTTCTTCGCAGGCTCAACTCCACTCCCGAATTCTCCACCTCGTCCCCCCCAGCGGCGCAGGAGGACAGGGAATGGGGGTTGGGGTCAGTTCATCACACGTTGTCTCTGCCGCTCCTTCCTCCTCAGGAGGAGGACTCCTCACTCATCCCCTGCTCCACTGTGGGATCCCTCCCACGAGAGACAGTCCTCCACAAACTTCTCCAGCGGGGGTCCTTCCTGCAAGCTGCAGTTCTTCACAATCTGCTCCGGTGTGGGTCCCTTCCCCAGGCTGCAGTCCTTCAGGCACAGACTGCTCCAGCGCAGATCCCTTCCCCGGGGTCACAAGTCCTGCCAGCAAACCTGCTCCAGCGTGGGCTCCTCTCTCC